TAGTCTCGAATTATTAAGTGTACTTTTAAACGCGTACTCCTAAGGAAACTTGTCTTTGCAAAATATTTTAATACTCCGTAAATTGCTCAAATGTAATCTCTGATGAAAATCGAATAAACAGTGGTACATGACATTCTTAATGAAGTAAGATCAAAGCGCAAAATATAAACAAAGCCCCTTTATTCCTGAGTAAATATTCAAAAACGGTGTCTATTACCAGTAACTGGGGAAAATATTTTGCATTACACTCCGTATCAGCCAGTCTGGTGCGGCGATCGGGCACAGTGGCTGACAAGACTAGATTTACGCTGCCTGTTCGAATCTCAGACTCGGGACATTAGGGGCCCCAGGCGTAAAATCCCACTTCAGTCTATACCACAACGACTCACATCACTCTTGTGTTAGATACCTTGTAACGATTGCCCTCGGAGTAAATGGACCGCATAATGGTTGCATGCGAACCAGTCAACCGGTTGATTAACGCACAGCTGAACATTTCTGTTGTCTGTGTTTAGGCGCCAACATCAGCTGCCGATCAGAGCAATATATAAACCTATTCCCAACTGTAAACGTTAGTTGACAGTTCCCCTCACCGTGATCTAATGATTGTTGCCGGAGTCGGGAATGATCTGGCTGGACCAGGTAACTCTTCAAACAGTCAACGCTTTGAATTTGTCTGCATGTTACAGTGGTGAAAGAATGCTGAACTTTGTAACTGGAACCGCCCGTTTCTCGCCTATGGATGCTTTAAGCAGCGCCACAAACTTCTGCTGACCTAATTTTACATCGCTGGCGGTCCTGCGGTCAACCTGGTTAACTAAATTCTAGGCGTTTCGAGGTTCCGCGGTGTACCTACGATAGCAAAGCGATTCCTGACGGCAATACTGGCAATACTTATGCGTTGAACCATGTTCTCATTTGAACACACCCTACAGTTCACGTCTAATCCGCACCCAAATTGCCATTTGCAAGGCACCCTGGTGCTGCAGAATGACGACGCCCCGGCACAATCAAGGCTCTGTGCATAAAGATTCAGTCGTTCGTGACCCCAATTAAAGTCGAGTTCAGCTGCC